CAAGCTAAAAACTCCATAAGACATTGATAGGATAATTTCAGCAGAAATCATAAATAAAGACAAGGACCCAATCTTATATGACTTGGTTGCTAGTTTTACAACACATGATCCTTGTGGTAATTTGGCATTTCCCTAAAAAAACTCAAAGAAAGTGCAATAATGGATGGTGATGGATATACAACCTATCAAAGAAGAAATGATGGAAGAACAATCAATGAGAAAGGGATTCCATTAAAAAACAGATACATAGTACCATATAACCCATCTTTGTTGAGAATGTTTCAGGCTCATACAAATGTTAAAAAAAACAAATCAATCCAAAGTAACTAAGTATTTATTCAAGTATATTAGCAAAATAAGCTACTGAGTTGTTGCATCAATGTATACTAACACTTTAGATTTATAGCAACAACAAATGCGTGATAAAATTTCTCACTATTTGAATTGTAGATATATATCACCATATGACGAAGCTTGGAGAATATTTACATTCAACATTCATCACAGGTCTCCACTATTTGAAAGACTAAGCTTCCACTTGCCAGGTCAACAACAAGTGATTCATTTAACAAGAAAAGAAATAACATCTGATATACAACAACAAAGGGTAAAGGAGTCCATGTTCCCATCATAGATGGAAATAAACAAGGACAATTCATTTGCTAGGACTTTGACATACTCCCAATTTTCACAATATTACACCTTTGATTGAGAGAACAGAATTTATAAGTCAAGAAAAAAGGGGTTTTTTTATGGGTATATTGGATAGCTTATCACCTTTATAATACTACCTTTGCTTATTGCTCACCAAAGCAAGGGAACCTTCAAGTTATGAGGACATTAGGATAGTAGGTGGCGTGTTGTACAATACTTTTAGAGAAGCGTGTTTCACGCTAGGATCGCTTGATGACGATAAAGAATATGATGAGGCCATAAAAGAGGCATCTACTTAGGCAAGTGGAAACTATCTTATAAAATTTTTTGCCAGCATGCTACTATCGCATTATCTCTCGTAGCTATAGAATGTTTGGAAGGCAACAAGAACTCATCTCTCAAAGGACTTATTCTATGCAAAAGGAGCAAGACAATTACACCCCTAGGTAAAAGACAACTCACCTTTTCCTTATATCTGAAAAGTAATAGAGTAAAGTAGCGATATTGTGGCCAAAAAAAATATTCACATGATATTAGTGGTATCCCATAATTATACAAGTCAGGTTTTTATACTTATCCTTACCACTATATTTTAACCCTTGAAAAATAGAATCAAGGGTAGAATCACACATGAATATGACTTCTTGTATCTATTTGGACTTTTTTATTTATTTAAAGATTGTAGATTATAGACTAAATAACCCTCTTATTTATTTTTCGTAAGTATATGCAAAGTTACTATTATTCTTAACTATTTACCTTTTTTGCTCTCAAATCATCAGCTACCAATGAACGGAGGTAAGAAACTTGTCTTCACCAAATAGAACAAATGCTGGTGGCCAGTGGAAAGAGTCTTGAAGATTCTCGTCAATGCCAACACCTTCTAAATCAAGCCTGCTAGATCCACTAAATCATTTAATTGCGATGAAGCTAAACCATGACAAAAAAACACTATAAACTAAAAACTATATACTTTCAGAGATCTTTCACAGACAAACAAAAAGAATTTTTTGATCAAATTGTCACATCAATGACACAAGAGAAGGGATAATTCTTTTTTATTCATGGATTTGGAGGTACAAGAAAAACATTTTTATGGAATGCTATAACAGTTGCAATGCGACGAAGTGGAAATATAATGCTCAATATGGCCTTCAATGGAATTGTAGCAATCGTTTTGCCATCTGAGCGTACTACACATTTAAGATTTTGCATTCCAATTGAGATAAATGAAGACTCCATATGTAGTATGTGACGACCGTTCTTCTAAAAATCCATTTAGATTAAATCAAATAATTTATTTGAAAGATTAACCATAATAGAAAAGAAGAAACCTTAAAATTATAAAACCACTATCATGATTAATAATAATAAACTTATGTCACAAGCAATATCAATCATTAACATGAGCCTTGAACTTTCAAAGTCTAAAAATAACATTCAACCATTAGCCCAAACAAAAATCATACTTTCAAACATGTGAACTAATAAATCATTTCAAAATAAGCGATAGAATCTATTAATCAAAAGTCAACACTTTTAAAAGAGTGTAACCTGCAAAGTTTTAAAGGCCTCTAGCCTTCTAACGACCCCTCATCAAATAGCAATACTCAAAAGTATTAGTTTATAACATCAGAGTATATGAGCCCTATGTGGCAATGTATAATAAGTCAACACATAAAACAAAAGAAGGGAGACTATACAAGCTATAATAGCACATTAAGCCTTCCTAATGGACCACCATTTGAACTATCACCTAAAGATAGTAGAAACAACGAGATGAGATAAAAGTCTCCATAACCAACTTTCCAACTCATCATATATATTAACATGTGCTCGTGAGGTGTCAAGTAGGAAAATTATTAATTCTCGAGAAATATAGATGTATCAATAGAAATATAAACCACATATACTAAGATAATTTCAATCATCCAAACCCTCACTATGGGGGCTAACACACAAATCACATAAGTCTATCCCTCATTATGGGGGATTAATCAGACTTATCCCTCATTTTGGGGATGAATAAGAAGCCACAAAGGCATATCCCTTCCTATGGAGGATGAAGGAAGCCAACCAATGTGTACCAATGGTAGTCTTATCATGTGATAGAACCGGACTCAACTTAAAAACCCAAATAACAACCAATCATTCACAATATGACGAGAAATATCTCAATCTTTTCTTAATATAATCCATAAGATATAAATCATATATTTTTCCAAACGACTCAGTCACAATTCTAAAAGTTCCATAAGACACATTTTCATAGCCCAAAAAGTATAACATCTCCATTCAAGTTCCAAATAGCACATTATTATTCTAAAATAGAAAAATACTCACAAACAACATATTAGCATATATAACAAGTGGAAAGTAATCACCTCTCATCAAACCAATAAAAGGATTACCACAAGGTCAATCCCATACTCAACCAATAATTAATCTACACAATTAATAGAACCACATATTAATATAAGCTAATTAATTAATTAATTAAGCTTATATATTTTAGTTAAATTTTTAATTTAATTTAATTTAATTATATAAAATTCTTAATTTATAAGCTAAGCTTCAAGCTTCAAAATAAACTATAATAATATGGTCTAAGAATTTTTAACATTCTAAACCTATTAAAATCTCAATAATATGTCAAACAACCCAAATAAATTATTTAACTTAATTTTAATGGATAAAAATATGATATATATCACATATAACAGATTTTTTAACTAAACAAATTAATTTCAATATTAAAAACCAATAAATGGACAAATCTAAACCAATTAAAATTAATAACTCGTTTATCTCTAAATTCCTATGGTAATCTATTATCAAAATTCAACACTTAGCTCATGTTTAAATCTCAAAATTTTCTCTAATCATTATAATAATACTGTCATTAGAAAGCTTAAAATATATAGAAAATATTCATAAAGAAATTTTGATAAAAAGAAGTAATTTTATGTACCTATATTATCTTCAAAGTTTACCTTCTCCTTTACAATGACTGCCAATCTGTTCCTTGCTCTGTCTCGCTCTCTTTCTCTCTTGCGTCTATGGAAGGGAAAACAAAGTGTGGGGTAATGTTTAATACCCCTCACACATTTATTAGGGGGAGCTCCCCCTAATAAATTCCTTCCTATCTTTCCACTAAACTTTTGGTGGAAAATTACTTTTTTTTTTAATAATAAAAAATATTATTATTTTATAATAATATAATATTGTTTATTTTTTTATTTTTATTACTATTTTATTTATTTATTTATTTTTGTATAAATCCTAAAATAAAATTTAGGATATTACATAGTATCACTACCCATTCACTATTAGCAAATTTAACAAAAGTAGCAAGGCTAATAATATGGGACGAAACTTCAATGGTGAGGAGATTTTGTATTAAAACTCTGGCTTGTAGCCTAAAGGACATAATGAGATGTAATATGGCTTTTGGTGGCAAGACTGTTGTCATGAGAGGTGATTTTAGACAAATATTACTAGTAATACCAAAAAAGGGGGGAGCTAATGTTGTCAACTCCGCAATAAAATCCTCAAGCCTATGGGCCTAATGTGAATTGTTACACCTCATAAAAAATGTGTCTTTTATCATACTCTAACCCGAGAGGGGTTTTAGAAATCAAGAATTTCTCTGACAGACTATTGAAAATTAGAGAGACAAGAATAGATGATCACATCAATGGAATGACTTAGATTGAGATGCCAGAAAACTTGATCATTCAACAGTTCACAGATCTGATTAAAGCAATTGTGGATTCTACATATCCAAATTTAATGGAAAATATTTTTGACTTAGAGTATCTTTTAAGTAGAGCAATTCTAGTGCCTACAAAGGAAATTATTAAAAGTCTAAATGACTATGTTTTGTCCTAGGTAGAGGGAGAAGTGATCGAGTATGATAGCTTGAATTCCATAAACAAAACATAGAAAGAGAATGCTACACAACATGAGATACACACAACAGAATTTCTAAACACAGTGAATTGTTCAGACATTCCTCCACATATGTTAAGGTTAAAGGTTGGTGTACCAATAATGCTTCTAAGAAATATTGACCAATTTGCAGGATTGTGTAATAGAACAAGACTATGAATTACTTTACTTAGAAGGCACTTTATAAAAGCAGTGGCATTAAATAGGACAATTAAGAATGAAGAAGTGCTCATAGAATGGACCTTAACCCATCACACGCCAGGCTTTTGTTCTCAATGATTAGGATATAATTCCCAGTAATTGTATTATTTGCAATGACAATTAATAAGAGCCAGAGATAGTCAATGGAAAGGGTGGGACTTTATCTACCAACACCGGTATTCTCACATGGACAATTATATGTAGCACTATCAAGGGTGGAAAGTATTGAGGGCTTGAAAGTACTAGTGCTAGACATAAAAAAGAAGCCCACCAATTGAACAATAAAATGTTGTGTACAATGAGGTTTTCCAAAATGTAATTTCAACATGATGCATGAGCACCAATGGTTAGTACTTCTAATATACAACATCTCCATAGTTAGTTTATCCATTTAAAAAAGACTGGTTCTAATAACCGATGCAATACATGGGGTACATCGTCTAATTAATAATAATATAGCTTGTCCCACAATCCCACTTTCAAGTAAAAATCCTATTAATAATAACATAGGTTTTCTATAAGTGAAAAAATGCTTCAAAATGTTCAATCTTTGCTTAAGAATTTTGATTCATTTGATTTTTAAAATTATGCCCTTTGCTACTCTTTTAGATTTAGGACTTTCAAAATTGTAATGCCAGGACCGGAGGGAACATCCTGTTCCATTTATTTTTAAAATCATTACAAATTTGGACCTTAGTCTTTTTTTTTTTTACATTATAATGTTTATTTTTCACTAGACTTTTAAAAATAAAAACACTAAAAAAATTATTATGTAAAACACTTAATTATATAATAAAAAAATAGTAATAAAAAAATTGTAAAAGAAACACTATATAATGACTTCATAAATTATTTTATTAAAAAAGAAGATTTTGTTGAGATGACATTACAACTTAAAACTTAAAAATCACTATAAAAATAAAATAATTATTAATAAGTGAATCGAATAAGCAAATAATAATGATCACTAAGTAATTTTATTAAAAAAGAAAATATTTCGGGACCAGTCTCGCGTCCTCTTCTGAAATTTTTTTAATTGTTTTACATATTTATTAATTTTAAGTAATTTTAACTGTTTTTTTAAACAATATAATTCGGTTAAAAAGAACAAGAGGAGGTGTTGATTAAGATTAATAGTATAAAAATGTAAAATTTGCCCAAAATTTATCAGGCAAAGTGCTGGTAAAAAAAAAAACAAAATACTACCTCCGGTTCTAATTATAAGAGCTAGTTGACTAATTTAAGAAGATTAAGATAATAAGTTGAGTTAGTTATTTATCCTAAATAGGTGTTGTCTTTTCTAAAATATCCTTACTAATCAAATGTATTGACTAGAATTATCATTGTTAGAAGGGATACTTTGAAAAATATATATATATATAAATATAAGAGATAAAGTAGATTGAGGTCTTATATTTAGAATTAAAATAAAAGTCAAACAGGATTTTATATTAAGCGTAGCAAAGTAACCCTCAGACCGACCCGAGACAATGAGCGGCATTCATACCCGGCCCAATCTATGAACCGGATCTCTATTTAAAGTCATAAGACCTCAAAAAACCCTAACTCTTCTTTCATTGAGCAAGTGTGCGTCGTCATCGCTGCGGTTCATCTTACTCCGATGGGTAAGGCTTGTGTTCTTTTGTTCTATTTTCTCGTCGGATCAAAGAATGCGAAGAAATGTTGATCTTCTTCATTGTTCTGTTGCTGGATATAGGTGCCTACAAGTATGTGTCAGAGCTTTGGCGCAAGAAACAGTCGGATGTCATGAAGTTCTTGCAGAGGGTGAGGTGCTGGGAGTATCGGCAGCAACCTTCCATAGTCCGTGTCACAAGGCCTACTCGTCCTGATAAGGCGCGTCGCTTGGGCTACAAAGCTAAGCAGGTGATGAACAGTCTACTTTGTGGAATTTCCTATGATTATTCCCTTGTCATTGTCGAAACCCCAAATTTAGGTGTGTTCAAAACTAATCTCAACCAATTTAACCACTCGAAGCACACTAAAATTGATTTATAGAAGCAAGATACCAACAAAATGATCGAAATCAGTTTCTAGGAAGTGTTAGGCGACTAGTGGATTTGGCTTTTAGGATGTGTGTGGCAGTTAAATGGGATTTTAATTTTCTTGTGCCAATCTTTTGATTTGCCAGTTATTGGTAATAATTCAGATGTTTCCAATCCTTTATCTGAGAAAGTGTTTTCTCTGTGAAGTGAACCCTCGGGATTCTCATAAAACCATGTAAATATTGCTTAGCTGAATGAGCTTATAACTTATAAGATACTGGTTCAGCGGCATCTTGATGCATATGCATCACTGCATATGTATGATGATTGGATGCTTCCTGAGACCAGCTATATTCAAGCTAACAGTCAGATCATCTGACCGAGTGAATTGTTCTCGTATCAATTTGGCTTTTGTCTCGATCTGACAAATCTTATTCTGTCATTTTAATCAAGCGTACATTGTATTTTTAAAGGATTATTTAATTATTTAATTTAATTTAATTCTGTTTTTTTTAATGTAATTTTTATTTTGAGAAAAAGGAAATCATTTGCCCCTGTACTTTTTTGCTTCAACTGTATGATCTAGTAATGCTTAAGATTGCAATATTTGCAGGGTTATGTGGTTTACCGTGTTCGTGTTCGGAGGGGTGGTCGGAAGAGACCAGTTCCCAAAGGTATTGTGTATGGGAAGCCCACGAATCAAGGTGTTACCCAACTGAAATTTCAGAGGAGCAAGAGATCAGTTGCCGAGGAGCGAGCTGGACGGAAGCTGGGTGGCCTTAGGGTCCTCAACTCATACTGGGTGAATGAGGTTTGTTAATATTGGCTCTAAAAGTGAAACTTGTCTGAATGACTTGCCAATAGTTCTAATTCTACAATGCTAATACAGGACTCGACTTATAAATATTACGAGATAATCCTGGTAGATGTGGCTCACAATGCCATCAGAAATGACCCGAGGATCAACTGGCTCTGCAATCCTGTCCACAAACACAGGGAGCTGCGTGGCCTCACTTCTGCTGGTAAGAAGTACAGGGGTCTCCGGGGCAGAGGACACCTCTACCACAAAGCTCGCCCATCCCGCAGGGCCACCTGGAAGAGAAACAACACTCTTTCCCTTCGTCGCTACCGTTGAACTTAGAGAAACTATTTTGCTCGTCATTTTTCTGGATATTTTGAATTGTTATGTTCTGCAAATTTTCTTTGGTTGAATTGGATTGTTTCGGTAATATACTTGAGTTGAAAATGATCAAGATGCCAGTTTTTTCCTGATCTCTTGATATATTTTTTCCCCTTTGCATATCAGATATAGGTACTGCTGATTTTACCTGAGTTAGTTTGTGGCTTCATTTTTCTTAGAATATTGTTGAGGACATGATAACTATCTATGAATTGAAATTCTCTTGCATGAATTGTTTCGGATGTGATCTATTTCTTTTGGATTAATGCCATCAATTTTTGCAGTAATATATTTTGGGTAATCTTGTGCTGTATGAACTTTTCGGAGTTTCCTGTTGGGTTTGTGAAAGAAGTAATTGACAGCTTATTAGCTAATAGGAAACAAATTTCCTCCTCTCGTAGTCACGTTGAGGAAAGTTGGATGGCGAAGTCATGTCAACACTTGGGTCGAATTCTAATGACCTCTTTTAATATGGGTTAAAATACAAATCACTCCCTTTAACTTTAACCATCTTGCACGTAGCCTCTTTCATCTTTAAAAGTTTAAAAATAACATCCTCAACTTTCAAAACTCATATTTTAACCCCTTACCGTTTAAGTGCGTGTTAAATTTAATGGAATGGATGCCATCTCAGATTATTTAAAATTACTTGATAGATGATATGTAATTTTTATTATTTTGTTAATTTATTCCAATTTAAAATTCACAATTACACTTAAACGTATTTTTGTAATTCTACTCGTAGTAATCCCCAATTCTCAGTCTCCCCTAATCCTGTCAACTTGCAGTGTTTTATTCTTCTCCATTCTTAAAATCTTTTTCAGAATATAACTCTTCTCTCTTGGTTCTCATTAGCAATGTAACAATTCCATCAATTGATTGTTGTGAAAAAATGACGAAGTGTAAATAATTTTCTCTATTATCTTTGTCTCACTGCCCCCAGCAAAATTTTCAACCCACCAAAATTCACTGGCTACAATCAAAAAATAGGTAGAGAAGGAAGATAGTGAGCAATGACTATTGAACAACAACTGAGCGCGATCCATCTTTGAATCTTTGGTGGGTGGCTTCGTCTCCATTTAAAAAAAAAAACAATTTCACAAAAAATATTCTAGATTTAAAAGAAGGATGTGATGACGGTGATTTTTTAGAATGGAGGAGATGATTAATTAGAAGATATTGCAAACATGAAGGACCTGAGAATTGGGGGAGGCTTATTAGGTGAATGAAACTAGGAATAAGGAATTATTATTGTAGAATCACAAAAGTACCATTTAATATAATTATGATTTTTGACTTAGGATAAATTAACAAAGTAATAAAGATTACATGTCGTTTGATAAATAATTTTAAACAATCTGACATGGCATCTATGCCGTTAGATTTAATGGCTACTTTAATGGTAGGGGGTTAAGTGTCAAGTTATGAAAGTTGAGGGTGTTATTTTTAAACTTTTAAAGATGAGAAAGGTTATATACAAGAGGGGCGAAGTTGAGGGGAGTTATTTATATTTTGGCCTTTAATATATAGAATTGAAGTTGTAATTTTTCAAAAAAGATTTAATTTATTTCAATATAGTATCTTTAAAATCAGGATCAGAAGTATAACTTTTCACTTGGTTTTGAGGAATATGCGACTGCGGGTACCACAAGATATGGGCACTCTTTTTATCTTGGATCCCCGGCAAATTTTAAAATATAGATGTGTTTATAAGGGGCCGTATTATTTCATAATATTTTTAAACTTTTTGTCATTCATCTTTTCTTGACCTGAACTTTTTGTCATTTATCTAAAAAAAGAGTCACAACTTAAAAGTATATTATTTTGATAGTCTATATAACAAAATAAAGTACAGTGAAGCGCATCTTAACACATGAGCAAAATGTCTAGAAATTAAAGTCAACAGAATAAATGGTTTAAATAAATAATTAAGCATATCTAGTCCAATACATGAGCCTGTTTTGAGTTTTGTGACCTACAAAATCCTTCATCAGATGAGCAAAATGCCTAGAAATTAAAGGCAACAGAATAAATGGTTTAAATAAATAATTAAGCATATCTAGTACAATACATGAACCTGTTTTTTGTGACCCACAAAATCCAAGTCCTTTCTTCTTGCCAACCTTCAGGATTTCATCATAGTCATCAGCATCATCAACTTACATTCATATTTCTTTGTGATTTTGAGACCTCTTCCGCAGATTTAACAAAGTGATGTCAACAAATGAATGCTCTTGATTTTCCGGGGTTGAATTTTGACCATTCCTCCCTCTTCTTATATGCTCAAGAATACAAGTAAATAAATAAATTAGTTAAAAAAAATATTTTTATTCTTCAACTTTTAACTCATTTATAATTTAGTTCCTCAATTATATTTTGGTGAAAGAGTGAGGCTTCTTTGGGCACTATATAACCTATCACTGGTTTAGGTTCTTGGACTGCCTCGGGTATGATTGACTCAGTTATCTGTTTGTTTTGCTGTGAATAGACCTTATATTAATCATCACGGGTCATATGTCCCCCTAACTTTGGCAATTGTTTAGGATTTGAAGCTGAAGGACTCGATGTGGGTTCAAGAAGTAATGTAGTGTTAGTTAGATGTTACTCCAGTTATCCCATTGAATTGAAGACTTGGGAAAATAGGGTTCGTGTTATGTGGTCCCAGGATTGGAACCTGGCTCCCATGTAGAATGACAATGAGTTTCATAGGGTCCCAAATAATGAGAGAGATGTATAAAGCATGTTCTATTATGCCTATTCCTAGTCCTGAATGGAATGGAATGGAACGACGCAGGAATCTATTTGTAAACATAATATTTATTTAGATATACTTAAATAACCCCTTTTCATAATGAGAATGCCTATAACCTTATTTCGGTTTGGTTCGGTATGGAATTAACTTATAATCATGCAATCAACCCGATTACCAGATTATAAATTATAAGTTCATAACTCTAACCCATTTCTATTATGGCTGAGACAGATCTACTAATTCTTTGATTCCAATTAGTAAGAGGGATCTTGAACTAAGAAATAAATTCTAAAAGCTAAAAAGAGTATCCTAAGCAATTTCACTAATTTAGTTCATTGATATTCCTTGTATAGTAGGTGCTATCACACATATAATCATAGTAACTCGTTTGAAATATCTTATAAGCAGCTTTTCATTAGTGATTTACATAATATAAATTAAATATGTGAAAAAACTTTTGTTTTGACTTATATAAAATATATTTATAAGCGCTCATGACTGCTAATCCAAATATGCCTTTAGTGTGAGGATGGTTTTGGGGGACCATGGCCCATTTCAACTTCTAGTAGAGTAGTTTTATTAGATAGGAAAAATAGCAAATAAAGACCCCTGGATATGTAAAATTACTAAATGGGTTCCTTAATATGAAAAATGGCCTCAAGAGACCCGATTCTATATTGCAACTATGAAATGATGGTAAAATGTTCAAAATGCCCTTCTTTTTTTCTCTTCCTCTCCAAATCTCCTTCCCTTTCCTTCTTCTTTTCCTCTGTCTCTTCGTCCTTCTCTTTCTTTTGGATCTTCCATCATCAACGTCACCTCTTACTCCTTCCTAAAGTATAACACCTAGTGACTGACAATGGAACTCACAATGTCCTTTGGCTTCTTTTCTTTTACAAACTAGATTTGAAAAACTCCTCTCTCTGTTGTCATCCCCTGTCACTTTCTTCTTGTTGCCTAGCCGTTCTTTCGTCTACAATAAAACCTCTTCCATCATTCTCTCTGTTGCTGTGGAAGGAGAAGAGAGTCGAGAAGTTTGGGGGACAGTTGCAATCATTTGCAATGCTTGTGATGTTTACTTACAATGTGTGCGATGATTGCTTAGTGCTGAGATAATGCCCAACAAACCTAGATTTTTATTCATCATTTCTATTTTGATTTTCAGCTTGTGTTCATAATTGAAAATAACAAGTTTGGTAAGTTGTTGAAAATAACAAGTTTCAGTAAGGCAAATGACAAGTTTAGCAAGGCGAATGACGACTTCTGATAAGCAATTCATAGAAATTTAAGTTTCTATGTTAAAATGACAGAATTTTTAGATTTCTTTAACAGATGACAAGTTCTGATAAGCAATTCATGACAAATTCCGTAAGGGAATGACGAGTTTAGTAAGGTGAATGACAACTTTTGATAAGCAATTCATAGGAATTTAAGATTATGTGTTAAAACGATAATTTGCACAATTCCTTGGCAAATGACAAGTTTAATAAGGCGAATGACAACTTCTAATAAGCAATTCATAGAAATTTAAATTTATGTGGTAAAATGACAAAATTTTCATATTTTTTTAGCAGATAACAAGTTCTCATAAGCAATTCATGACAAGTTTAGTAAAGCGAATGACAAGTTTACTAAGGTGAATGACAACTTCTAATAAGCAATTCATAAAAATTTAAGTTTCTGTGTTAAAATGACAAAATTTTCAGATTTCTTTAGTAGATGACAAATTCTGATAGGCAACTCATGACAAGTTCAATAAAGCAAATGACAAGTTTAGTAAAGCGAATGACAACTTCTAATAAGCAATTCATAAAAATTTAAGATTATGTGTTAAAGTGACAATTTGCACAATTCCTCAGCGAATGACAAGTTTAATAAGGTGAATGACAACTTCTAATAAGAAATTTATAGGAATTTAAATTTCTGTATTAAAATGATAGAATTTTCATATTTCTTTAGCAAATAACAAGTTCTGATAAGCAATTCATGACAAGTTCAGTAAAGCAAATGACAAGTTTACTAAGGCAAATGATAACTTCTGATAAGCAATTCGTAGAAATTTAAGTTTTTATGTTAAAATGACAGAATTTTCATAATTTCTTGGTGAATGACAAGTTTAGCAAGGCGAATGAAAACTTTTGATAAGCAATTCATAGGAATTTAAGTTTTTATGTTACAATGATAGAATTTTCAAATTTCTTTAGCAGATACAAGTTCTAATAAGCAATTTATGACAAGTTCAATAAGGCAAATGACAACTTCTAATAAGCAATTCATAGAAATTTAATATTCTGTGTTAAAATGGCAGCCACCAATTTCTGCAAATAGCCATTTGAATTCAAAAGAGTGGTAGAAAATCATGTTTGAAAAATATTATGAAGCTACCAGCAAAAGATAAGAAAATCATGTTTGCATTCAATATAATTTTATTTCATCAACTCAATCATTTACATATGAGAATTAAAACTAACAACATTTTTTATTACCAAGTTGACGTTAGAATTTTATAACTTTAGCATTCAAAATGATAACATTATGATTCACTACCTCCACTACAGCCCTTGAAACTTCATACTCAAATTAACAACTATTACCTCCTTACATTTTGAATGATAACATTGCTGAAGTTATAAAATTCTAACGTCAACTTGGTAATCGAAGACGTTAGTTTTAATTCTCACATATAAATGATTGAACTGATGGAATAAAATTATACTGAATGCAAACGTGATTTTCCTATCTTTCGCTGGTAGCTTCACAATATTTTTCAAACATGCTTTTCTACCACTCTTTTGATTTCAAATGGCTAATTGCAAAAACTGGTTGCTGTCATTTTAACGAAGAATCTTAAATTTCTATGATTACTTATCAGAATTTGTCATTCGCCTTACTAAACTTGTCATAAATTGCTTTTTAGAACTTGTCATCTGCTAAAGAATCTGAAAATTCTGTCATTTTAACACAAAAACTTAAATTCCTATGAATTGCTTATCAAAAGTTGTCATTCGCCAAGAAATTGTGAAAATTCTGTCATTTTAACACAAAAACTTAAATTTCTATGAATTGCTTATCAGAATTTGTCATTCGCCTTAGTAAACTTGTCATTCGTTTTACTGAACTTGTCATGAATTGCTTATCAGAACTTGTTATCCGCTAAAAAAAAATGAAAATTCTATCATTTTAACATAGAAATTTAAATTCCTATAAATTGCTTATTAGAAGTTGTCATTCTGCTTATTAAACTTGTCATTCGCTAAGGAATTGTGCAAATTGTTGTTTTAACACATAATCTTAAATTCTTATGAATTTCTTATCAGCAGTTGTCACTTGTCTTACTTAACTTGTCATTCGCCTTACTGAACTTGTCATGAGTTGCTTATCAAAAATTGTCATCTGCTAAAGAAATCTGAAAATTCTGTCGTTTTAACACAAAAACTCAAATTTCTATAAACTGCTTATCAGAAGTTGTCATTCGTCTTGCTAAACTTGTCATTGCCTTACTAAACTTGTCATAAATTGCGTATTAGAACTTGTCAACTTGTTATTTTCAACAACTTACCAAACTTGTTATTTTCAATTATAAACACAAGCTGAAGAATAAAAATCCAGATTTGTTAGGCATTGTCTCAGGACCAAGCAATCATCACACACATTGCAAGCAAACATCACAAGCATCACAAATGAATGCAACTCTCCCTCAAACTCCCGACTCTCCTCTCCTTCCACAGCAACGGAGAGAATGATGGAAGAGGTTTCATTGCTGATGAAAGAACGACTAGGCAAGATAAGAAGAAATTGACAGGGGATGACAATGAAGAGAGAGTTTTTCAAATCTGGTTTGTAAAAGAAAAGAAGCCGAAGGACATTGTGAGTTTCATTATCAGTCACTGGGTGTCATACTTTGGAAAGGAGTGAAAGGTGAAGTTGATGATAGAAGATCCAAAGGAAAGAGAAGAACAGAGAGAGAGAGAGAGAGAGAGAGAGAAGAAAAGAAGAAGGAAAGGGAAGGAAATCTAGAGAGGAAGAAAGAGAAAAAAGAAAGGTATTTTGAACATTTCACTATCATTTCATATTTGTAATATAAGACCGGGTTTCTTGAAACCATTTTTCATATTGAGGAACTCATTTAGCAATTTTACATATTTGGGTGTCTTTATTTGCCATTTTTCCTATTAGATATTAGGCTATTATTTATTTTATTTTTTCCCAGCATTTTTTTTCTTTTATTTTGATGCAAATACTCCTCCGGTCCTTAATATAGAACCCCATTGTTGAGTTGGTTTTGGTCCTAAATATAAGAACCATTTCTCATATTTATCAATTTTCTCTAAATTACCCCTATAGATACTCCCTCAACCACAGTCAAATAGAAGAGGGAGAGAAGGTATTAAGAAAGATGATTATAGTATTTTAGGAAAAACATGTCATATTTCTTATAATTAACTAACTTACCTAACTTCCTTAATCTAATCAAATTAGTTAAATAGATTTTATATTAAGGACGGGAGGAGTAACTTTTTAATTTTTTTTGTAATTGAGACCTATTAATGACCGAACCAAGGTAACACATTAATCGGAATTTTTTTAACAAAAAAAAAAAAAAAACCCTTTACGGTGTCGTCTTGTTGGATTAAATTCTTGCAAGCTGATGAATGCAGATCACTTCGCCATTCAAGATTCCGTTTCCTTTCTTCTCCCGTTCCGATGGAAATAGATTCCCTTCCCAACGGCCTTGGCGCCGCGGCAACTGCCGCCACCGGGACCACCGTGACTTCTACCACTGTCACCAACGCCGCTGCACCTCCTCCGTCCTCACAGCTCAGCCAACTCACAGAGTCTTTGAAGCTTGAGCATCAGTTCTTGAGGGCCCCTTTTGAGCACTACAAGAAGACGATCCGTGCTAATCACCGCATCGTCGAGAAGGAGATCTCCTCCGTCGTATCCGGCGTTTCCGGTGCCGCCGATAGTGATATGTCCCGTGATGACGCCGTCAACCACCTGAACTCCCTTGTCTCTAGGCTACAAGGGCTTAAGAGGAAGGCAAGTGCAAATCGAAATTATTGATTTGAATTATGACACTACGCTTATGCTCGTTCGGGAAATTGACCTTTGCTGTTTTTGGTTTAAAGTTAATTGTTTTATTTTCACACAAGTTTTTGGTTGCAAACCTTAAAGATATTTATTGATATTTTGTGGTCAGGGAAAGGGATGGTTATGAATTTTATTCATTACATTTGATTACATTTCCTATTGTCTTTGGGTGACAAACGAAGTAATGTGTGTGATCAACTTTGGAGCTAAAAATGCAGTTCTTGTTTAATATTTAATGGATTATTTGGATAGACATGTCTGAAGACATTAAGACAACCCATGATTCTGATGGATCATGAAGGACGCTGACCTTTTTTGCAGGGTGTGATATAATTGATTTTTCTTTCAGGATGCGTTGTGGCAAGTTTTGCACTCACATTTTACCCATCAGATTTTTTTTTTTTTTTTTAAATTTCATTATTCAGTCATATAACTGGGAGGGATAGTTTACCGAACTGAAGACAGATATTGCAAATTTTATGGTATTTCAGCGAGTGGGTTAGTTTCAATGCATTATTTGATATAAGTTTAAAGATGTCCAAAATCTTTGATGCATTAAGTATGACAGTGGCTTTTTCTAGGTGTGATGTAATTGGTTTGTTGTGCAAAAATTGATCTTCCTTTTCTGCAAGTGTCATGGCACATCTTTTGCATTTGCAGTTTTCATGCCAAATGATTTATTTACTCTTGTTAGTGATTGTCTCATGTTTATTTGATAAGTTTATTCACCGTGATCATCATTTAACAATGTCTTCAGTTGGAGGAAGGAAGTCGAGCAGAGCAATTACAAGCTCAAAGGTACCGGGTGCGTATTGGTCACTTGGAATCTGCTGATGCAGAAAAAATATCAGAATGGAATGACACACGTCTGAAGAGGATTTTGGTGGATTACATGTTGAGAATGTCATATTATGATACAGCAGCGAAACTTGCTGAATGCAACAATTTACAGGTAAATCTTGTGAATTTTGTTTTGTTGTGTTTTTTTGGCCCCCCTTTTGTACAATCTGTACTTTCTGCTTTTTAAAAGGAGTCAAATGGCTATTGACATCTTGAGGATTCTTTGAATATTCCTTGGAGCTTTTGTGAAGTATCTAAACTCTAATTTTCAATGATCAAGCCAATTTACTCTACTTTGGATCTGATAGCAATGTCATTCTTTATGCATCAGGATCTTGTTGACATTGACGTGTTCCAGGAAGCAAGAAAGGTTATTGATGCTTTACAAAATAAGGATGTTGGGCCTGCTCTAACCTGGTGTGCCGATAACAAATCAAGGTTGAAGAAGTCCAAGGTTCATACTACTGTTTGAAATTATTAATATCTGGCGGATTGATGAGTTTATTTACATAATTATGCTTTACTCCAATGGGAGATATTGTATCTTTACTCATGCTTTTTTTTGAAGTGCTGAGTAAGTGGTTTATCCATTGCCTAACTGCATTTATGAATTTAAGTAAAGCCCGAAGAGATTTCGCTTACAAGCTGAGATCCTTAGAAAAGACATCACTGTAGAAAATTTGACTATGTTAGATGTCATCTTGTTTTAAGGTAACGGGTTATTAGTGGGTCTAAAGCTGCCATCACGCTATTATTGAAATCCCTCTCGGTGGATCTGATCTGAAAAGCTCCGCTACAGTGCTAATTTAGGCGGTTTGAACTCATCAAATCTCCTTAGATCCTTGCAAAGTGACTAAAGGATGTGCTTGTTTCATTTGCTTCCTTTACAGTCATTCATGCAGCATTCATTGTTGCATGGCACTGGACCTTTATTTGATCCACTTCAAGCATGTTTCTCCTGAATCAAGACCAATTTTGGGACGTTTAGCCAATGGTATGGGTGGCCAACGGAATGTGTTTTACTTAGAAGAACTTAGCATTATACCGCTTCTTCTTCTTCTTTTTTCTCGTTTCATTTTACATATTTACTAATTTTTTATTTGTATTTACATACTTGTTGAAGAATATCAGTTTATCGTTTTGTTCACCTAATTTTCCCCCTCTTTCCCCCTCATGATCTCCCTCTTTCACCTTTATCCCCCATTTCCTTTACTGTTTCAAATCGCTCTGACTTTCTTCTTAGATGGTAAACAGCAATGGTCTTATTAGAATTATGTGGTTCAAGCACTTGATGATAAAAAGTCATGGAACAACTTGACATGCTTGCTGGCATGGTACTTCTGCTTGGTTAGATTGAAGGAGAAAGTAACTTATTATAAGTCGTTATATTTGACCATGAACTACATAATTTTCTCACTAGCTTGGCCCTACTTTATTGCTCTCTCTCTCTCTCTCTCTCTCACTCACTCACCCTCTCTCACACGCACACGAAAACAAATATTATAAAGGTGCTTAATTATACATGGAATGCTGTAAGACAAGTCGGGAGAAACTTTTACAAACAAAGTGGCACGATCATTGTTAAAAATAAAATATCATTTTGCTTTTTCTGGGGGGTGTCGAAAAAAAATTAATTGTTGTCTCATCTATCATATCTTCCACTATCTTCTGTTGAAGGCAGGTCATGTGCCATGGTACTTGATGACCAAATATAGACATTAGGCTTCACACCAAACCACAATTACTGAGACCATTGTTAAAAATAAAATATCATTTTGCTTTTTCTTGGGGGTTTCTAAAAAAATTAATTGTTGTCTCATATCTGTCATATCTTCCACTATCTTCTGTTGAAGGCAGGTCATGTGCCATGGTACTTGATAACCAAATATAGACATTAGGCTTCACACCAAACCACAATTATTGAGTTAGGTTGGTTTTGTTGACAACAGAGCAAATTGGAGTTTCAATTAAGACTTCAAGAGTTCATAGAGTTGGTAAGGGCTGAAAATAATTTGCGAGCCATCACATATGCTAGGAAATATCTTGCACCATGGGGAGCCACCGACATGAAAGAATTGCAGCGAGTCATGGCAACCTTAGCCTTTAAAAGAGACACTGAATGTGCTACTTATAAGGTAAGCCTTGGCTGTCTAGCATCTGTGCATGTTTTTACATTAATAGTATTATTCATGCTGCCATGTTAGATGAACTTACCATATTTGATTAACTGGTGCATCTTTTGAATTTTGATTTGTTTTGTTAGAATTGGATTAGATAAATGCAATATATTAATATTAGTATTGATTTGAAAGTTGAAGATACCACTCCTCTTTTTCTTTGCTTTGTTGAAGGTGGAAAAATCCGTGAGTTTCCCCCCTAGATTCCAAGTTGGGAATGTGTTTTTCAGTTACATTGTGAGCTTCACTTTGAATAATTGTGTGTTTCAAGTACCTATAATTTCCAGGTCAAAAATAAATATACCTATAATTTATTTTTGTTTTAAGAATGGAGGAATATCAAGCTTGAAATATGCATTATGGCTCTTTCTATCTGATACAAGCTGTGACTATGTTTTTACTATTCCAAGTTGGTAATAATTACAGTGCACGGAAACGAAGCTTCATTTACTTTTAGTTTTTGGCCCAAAAAAAAAAAAAACCTTCTTGTACTTGAGCTGTCATATGTTGCACCTCTATATTTTTTGAGCTGAAATTTTAGCAACACATAAAAGTTAAAGTTGACTCTTCTCCCAATCCTTTTACAGGTCTTATTTGAACCTAAGCAATGGGATTATCTGGTGGACCAATTTAAACAGGAATTCTACAAGCTATACGGCATGACTGTAGAGCCGTTGCTTAATATCTATCTGCAAGCTGGTCTTTCTGCCCTGAAAACTCCGTATCCAGCATCCATTAATTACTTTGTCTTCGTCTGTGACATTTTTCTGTTTGCTCTTGATTGTTTAGTGGGGAGCAGAGTTTTTTTTTTTTTTTTTTTTTGGGGGGGGGGATGCTTTTATATTTTCATTTTGATGGACAGTCCAATCCCTCTGAAAGCTTCCTGATCTGTTTGTGGTGTTTACTAGAAATGACAAGGATTGTCAATCAAATTGGATACCTTTGATTGGATCGAGTCATTATTTATCTTATTAGGCATGTCAAATCACAAAATCCTTTATGATCCATAAGTCAAGAGCATTCATAATCTGATGTTTGTCTTTTATACAGAAATTTTCTTTTATTCTGGCCTGAGAAATAATTGAAGAGATCATATTTGACCAATTAGATATTCACTTTGATTTTCTCACGCGAGAATCACTCAAGATTTTGCGTATTTAGTCTTGTTACTGCTATCGAAATTTCTTTCTTTTTTTTTTTTTTGGTGTTGAGTTTGCCGTGGTTTGTAAAAAGAGTGGTCCGTAGGAATCTTAACTGCTTCTCATTCATAACCTATGCTATGGAAATTTTCAAATCTGTAACCAGTCAACCTTCTTTGCTTCTCAATTTAACTTATGCTTGCAACTGATGATGGTCCGAATTTGGCCTGAATTTGGTCGTTGAAGGGCAAGCTACGAGAACCATAAAATTTTATGTGCAATAAAGCCTGTGACTATGAATAGAGCACATTCGTGTGGTGTAATCCATGTAACAGTTCCATCTAGTGGGCGATAAGACCTGTTGTTGAAAGCCTGTAGCTATGCATGTGCAAGTCATAGGTAACTCTCTGTTCCTTGTGATCTTTGACTTGATGAAGATACTGTTACGAGGATGATTGTACAAAAGAGGACCCTCTATCACAGGAGGGTTTCCGGACACTGGCCAAGCCTTTACCTTACTCTAAGCAACATCACTCAAAGCTTGTTTGCTACATAACTAAGGAGCTAATGGACACTGAGAACCCGCCACAAGTCTTGCCCAATGGATATGTCTATAGCACCAAGGTCCCAGTTATTCTAGATGTTTGTTATGCATTATTTTTGTCTATTAGGCTAATTGTATTTGCTGATTTGCAGGCTCTTGAAGAGATGGCCAAAAAGAATAATGGTAAAATCATCTGCCCGAGGACTGGTGACGAATGCAATTATACAGATGTGGTGAAAGCTTACATCTCATGATTCTACATTCTTGAGCTAGTATAATGACTGTAAGTCTGACTCTAAGTCCTGCCTTGTACATCTAAGCTACTCAACATTTCTGGTGAAAAAGGGTCGGGAAAATTATTGCTTTGGACATGACATTGTTAACTGTCCGTATGTTTCCATTATACCTCTGGTGTTAAACATGTAAATAATACATGTGCTCATTGTTTCAAATGTCTGTTCGGGAATTACATTAGATTGTGCATAACAGTTCACTTTCCTGATTGTTCTGTGATGTTTTCTGTTCTTAGTGAATTTTGGGCTGGCCAACTTTTGGTATCAAGAAGGCAAAATAGTTTATTAGAAACGATTTATTTGTGATGTTTTAGGTATTGCATTCAGATCTAGATTACCAGTTTCGTATGGTCCAATCCTTTGAACTTTTTTTAACCAAAAAAGAGAAATATCCTTTTGCATGATTTTATATGAACTCGACATGTTTCCCTATATATTGAACATAATGGATTGTACTATTTACAAGTTACAACTTGTAAAAATAATTTATTATAATTTTTATATTAATATGTTGATTACTGAACCAGATAAGTCTGGTTCAGATTTATAAATTTATCTTTAAAAAATCTTCTTTACGGGAAAATGCTTTCCGAACAATCGAATACCCTAATTTATGTAGTTTAATCGCTAAAGTTTGTGGTCATGAAAAATCCATATTCCAAGCACTGAAATTAAAAGGGAAAAAAAAATCATAGCTGAATGCATAAAAATCATTCAAACTTGGTTATGGTGTCCAAACAAAGCTGAGTTAGCTCTGAAGGAAAAGGATGGGCTAGACGCTTTGTAGAACAGAACATTCCATAACTTCACTTAAAACTTGCTAATCCTAAGAGACTTTCCAGACCCATTTTCAGAGCTTGCATCACCTTTAATTTAGAAAAATCATATTACCTCGTATCCTTAATATAAGATCTACTTAATTAATTTGGATATATTAAGAATTTTTTTTGGGGTCAAAGGGTAGTTTAAAAAAATTAGTTGAATTAGTTACTTGTTAAAAATGTGTATGGGTTTCTTCATAATATCCTCTCAAATTATTTGTATTGAAACTATCTCTTGATGCAAGCTCCTTAGCAAGTGTAAACAATAAGGATAGTTTAGGAAAATAATGATAAACATGAGGGACAAAACAAATTGAGATCTTATATTTAAAATCAAATTCAATCATCAAGTAAATCTAGGTAGTATCTTGTTACATATACTCATTCAAATGAGGCAGTTAAGTTTTATTAGAAAAAGCTTGGGATATCCTTGGAGGGTACAAAACCTTGGTTCCAAATTCGAACTAGAAGTCCTTAGGCTTACCAAAGTAGCGATTGGCCTCCTTTTTCCCAAGTCAAGCTCTCAACTCTCAACTTTTAAAAAACCATAGGAAAATTACTATGAAGTCCTAATTAAAAAAAATAATTACTAAAAAATCTTTGTGATAGCAAAACTGCCTACAATGACAAGTTTTTGGGATAGTAAATAATAATTGCTCGCTCGTCATCAAAATTTGTTGGTAATTATTTTCTTTTCTTGGGATCTCACAGTAATTCTCCCAAAATCATATATTCCCATATAATCAAAATATGTCGTAACATCATCATATTCATTCATGTTCCTTCTTTCTTTGTTTTTATCTTGTCAGAGTGGCCAGTGTCCTTTCCCTCAGTATAAAATATAAAACTTATAACAATTTGTATTATTCATAAAAAAGTATGATTTACTTCTTAGATTTCACTTGATAAACGAAAAAGGTATTTAATTGAATAAATCAACATTTATATCTTGCCAAATATAGTTGGAGCTAAAAGAGATACATAGTAATGAGCATTTTTTATTATATCACATCGTATTCATTAATGGTAATATACTACCTCCGGTCCTTAATATAAGACTATATTTGATTTTTATTTTGGTCCTAAATATAAGATCCCAATCCACTTTGTCTCTCATCTTTACTCAATTTTTTCAAGATAGTCCTTTTAATAATTGTAGTTCTAATCAATACATTTGATTAGCAAGGATATTTTAGGAAAGACAACACCTATTTAGGAGAAATAACTAACTCAACTTACTTCCTTAATCTCCTCAAATTAGTCAACTGGCTCTTATAATTAGGACCGGAGATAGTATATAATTAAGGGTTAATATAATTTTTAGCTTGTCAAGACAAAATGATCTAAGTTTTTATTAAATTATGAAGACCAAAGTTTTAAATGAAAAGAAATTTGAGAGGTTAAAACCTATGATTTTAAATTTGAGGGATCAAAATCAAAATAAGAACAAATTTGAAGGATCAAAAATTATATTAACCCTATAATTAACTATTAAACAAAAATATTACTTCCAGTTCTAAATATAAGAGCTAACTATGATGTTGGATTTGATACTAAATATAAGATCTCAATCAACTTTGTCTACCAAATTTATAATGCTTTATCCAAAAGATCCCTCTTGATAGTTAAGTGTTTTCATTCATGAAAAAGTAGTTTTAATATGCATAATTAAATAAGAGTAATTTATTTTGGCAAAAAAATAAGGGTAATTTAGGAAAATCAACACACATTTCATACAAATAATCAATTTAACTAGTTTTTTTAAATCTTCTCAAATTAATTATATAGCTCTTATATTAATGAGCAAAGGTAATATTTCATACAAGTATTAAAAAAACCATATTTTGCACGAAAGATAAAGAAAAAAATTTCTATTGAAAGTTAGCTAACAATTTCATGCCTATTTTCCCCTCAGATGATTTTGCTCCGTTTTTATTGTAATTTTAGTTTTAATTATATGTAATATTACTAGATATGTTATATTACAACTTTTGTTAATAACTAGAAACTTCTCCTGTGCAACATGAAAATGTTATATGGTAGAATTATTTTAATATGACAATAATGCATTCATTTGTATAATTCTAAGGAAATTTAGCACCACATTAAAAAAAAGGATATATTTTAATGTTATTATAATAAATTCGGAGAAAGATATAAATGGGTGGCCTAATGAACACACGTAATTTTGGGGCTCGTAAATTTGTGAGATTTAACTATGAACCAAAGTTATTAATCCATTTGTTTAACAGGAAGGGAAGACGTCCAAAACTATTTTGGTACTGTGGATAAAGTACAATAACATGAAGGAAAAATGTTAAATTGTTGGTAATTTAAAATAAAAAATACATGCAAAAGCAACAACTCCATGTGCAAGATGATCGATCAGTGGAATGCCATAATGATTTTATCATCCAATCAATTTTACAAAACCAATTTTGATATATAATTCTTTGATCTTATTTATAAGTCACTTTTAACATGTTTCATGCAGACTAAGAAAAATCTTAAATTTTATTAACTCTCATTTAAAATTTAATAACTTTTCAACTTTATTTCATACAGATTATTTCATACACAATAATAAATAAAAGAGTAAATTGTATATTCATACAAAACATTTCTCTTAGTGCCCTATAAATAAGATTAAAAAATATCTTCTTTCTATCCTATAAATAGGACCAGAGGAGTAATAAGTAAATCTGATAATTAAAATGAGAGGACTCCTGCAAAAAGAATTCGTGGGAGAAGAGATTATTATCCCACATTCATCTGTAGAATAATTTGGTTACTGAGTTTGGATGGCCTGCAGGAGTTTCATACAGGTGCTTTTAAGTGATTCATGCCCTATTTA